CCTTTGTTAGTTTGGCAAATTTAACATCTCTCCACAAACTTAGACACATCGTTTGCTTCATAAAATAGTTTTTTAGTAAAAAAAAATTCAGTTAAAAAATAATTATATTGAAAAGACTATTCCGAATGAAACCTTAGTCTGATTATTATTGGATATTGTTTAAATGAAGGATGTTAACATTTAGTTATTGTTACAATTTAATTATAAATTATTTTTTTTAACGAAATGAAGTATACTAAATATTAATACAATTTATGTTAATTTTATTATGTTTTATGAATTATGTAAACGGCAATATATGTCATTATTTTATAAAGCTGCTCAAAGAAGAATACCAAAAAAAAAAAAAATACTGTAAACAATATAGAAAAAGTTGTTCAGGATTTATAAAGAGTAATATAATTCAATTGAATATTACCTGAATATAAATAAAATCTTACGAACAAATTGTCATGATATATCTAAATAAAAGTTGTTCATAATGATTTATAAAGAATAATTTAATTCAGTTGAATATTACCTGAATATGACCCTGGAACAACAATCGGGAAAACAGGGTCTGACTTGATCAATTTGACCAAGTCAACTCTTTAGGCCCGGGTCTGGGCAAAATCGAGGTCAACAGTGGGTAGGAAGAAGGGCTCCCGCTCGGCCGGGCGGGCCATGTGGAGCGCGCTATATAGGACTAGATCAGGCTGGCTGAACTAGGTCGGCCAAGCTTATTGGATCCCAAGGAAAAAAATGCTGGTTTACTATGGTGATTAGGTGATGGGGACATCGGAGCTTGGAAAGTTTATCAGAGGCGTGGCCTCCCATCTACGGCCACTATTGCGCCGATATATTTTTAAGTCTTCATATGTATTTGTTTTTATTTATTTGTGTTTGTATTTGCTTTAGTTGTTTCCCTTTTTTACCCCTTACTTAAGGGTGATCATGTGTAAGCTCAAAGGGCGAAGTAGTCTTTTATTTTCGTCCATTTTATGAGGTTATATATAGCCCTTATGTTCTCTTTTGAAGGTTAATGATTGAATGAAAACAAAAGTTCTGCATTGTGAGTTTTTGTGAGAGCTTGAGAGGAGTTAGATAGACATCCCTTAGAGAGGGAAGTGGATCACCCACAAATTTTGGAAGAGTCTGGGTATGTGGCCAATTTTATCTTTTATTTTCTTTCTAATCTCCCTCCCTTCTTCTTCCTCCAACCCACAATCCACCCCCACCTCAACCCGCCAGCCCCCTCCACCAAGTTCCACCGCCGACCAACCACAAGCCCTCCTCCCCTTAGACTTTGGGCTAGCAACCCTAACTCTCCACCCCACCCAACCCCCACCTCCCTTCACCCAAAACCGGCAGGCAAACTATCCAAGCCGCCGAACCCCCTTGGGGATTCTCCATTAAGGCTTGTGTTCAAACCTTTCCAATTTGGTCTTTCTAAGATAGGAAACTTATTTAATTCATATTCAAATTTAATTTGAATTTGAATTATTTCCTAAATTACGAATCCTATTTTTGGGAAGTTTCCTAAATTAAACCCTATATGAATTTAAATTCAATTGGATTTAATTACACCTTTCCAAATATCTAAATCCAATTCAAGCAACTTTAAATGCCTTTCCATAAACCCCTTTCAATTCAAGGGTGAATTTCTTTTCCTGTTCAAATTATTTTCTAATCCTTTACTCTTTTAGGTGGTGATTCAAGCACGATGACTCATGTCAAGCTCTCTGTCTTCTCTTAGTAAACGTATGATTTGAGTTTTTGCTTCCTATGTTTCTAATCTCAATATTAACTTTGGGATTTTATTGAATAACTACTTAATTTGCATTTTGTTGAAATTCTAAATTACTTAGGTGATTCAAGTTCTTAGCATGTGATTTGGCCTAAACGTAGCTACCCATCTTTCATTTTCTATCATCGTTTAATGGGTAACAGTCTTAATTATTATTTGCTCTTATTCAAAATGTGCAAGCTCTTATTCAAAATGTGCAAGTTCTTATCGCATTCTTTTAAAACATATTTAGTCCTGCATCATTAGGACTTTAAGCAGCCTAAATTTTGTTTGAAGTCATTCCATCATATATCAGAGTTGAGTAAAATCTAGGCTTCGTTTAAGCTATCTTTTTTGTTATTTTCTAAAGCAGCTTTTTAATTCAAAATTTTCTTAAATTAAAAATTTTTTGAATTAAAAATTAGTTTTAGAAAGTAATATGAAAGCTATCACAAATAGGAGATCACTGTCTTGCACGTCGTAGGAGTAAGAACCGACTTTGAATTGGTCATGACAATCTGATCAAGGATACGTTTGGCATATTATTATTGGTGAAGGAGAATTCCATAGTCAGTTGGCATTGCTTGAATGCCTAGGAATTATGATAGTTGTCCCAAAATTTTCATTTGAAACTGATCGTGTAGGTTGGAGAGCATATGGTTGATCTCAGTTGTTGAATTTATGGTTAGAAGAATGTCATCTACATATATTAAAATGTATAGACGAACCGAGCTCTTTTGGTATGTGCGAGGGATCGGCTGTACTTATGTGAAATCCAAATTGTTGCAGATGAGTCGAAAGTGTGGCATACCATTCTCTGGGAGACTGTTTGAGACCATAAAGAGCTTTCTTCATATTACAAACATAGGTAGGAAGAAGAGAATATTGAAAATCAAGTGGTTGTTACATATAGATGGTATCACTGAGATTTACATGTAAAAAGGCATTTGAAACATCTAGTTAAAGAATACTCCAATTGTAGTGAAGAGCTATAAGAATAAAGATACGAATAGTGGGCACTTTAGCAACTGGACTAAACATCTCTTGGTAGTCTAAGCCATGTTCTTGAGTAAAGCCCTTTGCTACAAGCCGTGCTTTATATAGAGAAATGGAGCCATCCGATTTAAACTTAATTCGAAACATCCATTTGCAACCAAGGATGTTTTGATTTGGCATGGGAGGAACCAAATCCCAAGTACCTTATGTTTGAAGTGCTTGAAATTCCTGTGACATGGCTGAGCGCCAATGTTCACTTTTAATAGCTTGATGAAATGTGGTTGGGTGGGATGGTTGCAACATATGGGATAAATCGAATGTGTTTTGGTTTATAATGACCACTTTTAGAATAAGTGGTCATAGGATGAATAGAAGGTACACTCGAATGTGTAGTATTGATGGATGAGTTTGGCGACTGCTGCTCTTGTAAGATATAGTTTGGAGTGTTGGAATTGCCCGTAGATAGACTATGTGAGAGAGAGGAGTGGCGATTGCTGCTCTTGTAAGATATCCACCCACAAATGTTGTGGAAGGGAGGCTTCAATTAGCAAAGTACGTATAGTCTCAATTAAGTGATGATGTTTCGCTATGCAACTCCATTTTTAGAAGGTGAATAAGGGCAAGTAAATTGATGTATGATTCCAAGATTTTTGAGAAAGATTGTGAATTTATTATTGAGAAATTCACCACCTCCATCGGTACGAAGAATTTGAGCGTTAGCTTGAAATTGATGTTTAATCATTCTTTGAAATTCAAGAAATTTATTAAAAGCGTCAGATTTTTTAACTTAAGGATAGACCCAAGTATATTTTGAAAAATCATCAATAAAAGAAACATAATAGCGATGTTCTTGATTTGATGTAACTGGAGAAGATCCCCAAACATCATAATAAACTAAAAAGAATGGAGCAGAGCTAACATTTTGAGAACTAGAAATTGGTAGTCGATAATTTTTTGTCATACGACACGCATTACAAATAGAAGAATTTTCTTACTATATTTCATCCCACATGTCCTTATATTTTTCTCCATTTCAATTTGTTTATGATCGATCGCCACCCATTATTATGCCATGACACTATAGATGAGCTGAGAGAGAAAAAATTACATTAGTTACATACATACCACTATATATTTAATATTTTACATATTTAACACCTCATACATTAATATTACATATATACCACTCAAATCCCTACTTTATTTCGTTTCTACCACTCCATCTAATGCCTCCTCACGACGTTTCTCTGTGTCCGCCCCTTAACTGTGACGGACGGACGGAAGTATTGCTTCCTGCTGAAATTCCCCGCTAAGCCTCTCTTTTTTCCTTTCGTCGGACGTCTCGCATTTTCCACCATCTGAAGCTCCTGATCGCATTGTTCTTCACGGTAATTTCTTCCGCCGAATTTCCTTCAGGGTTGTTGTCACCTTCAGCAAATCTGTACTTAAATTAAAAGGTTATCAAATCGTTACATAAGCAAATGTTGCAGCTTTTGAAGCTATAATGCTTCAGTTTTAACTGGGAAAGCTAACAAAATCAATTTAAAGTCCGATAAAGAACCTTCCTAGGAAAAGCTAACAAAATCATTTTCAAAGAAATAATTTCGGAATGAAGAACGGCAAACCTGAAATTAGCGGGTAGGTGACGGACAACAAGCTCTCCGAGCAAACCTGATCATTGAAAAAAAAAATACGAGAATGCATCAGGAAGACCTGCAAATTTGAACGAGGTCCGGCAAAACAAATCAGTTTGAGCAAAAATGAGAGAATGCATGAGAGCTTACCTTCCTCCCCTTTTGCAAGCTCTGATTCCTTGCTTCATATGCCCTAACCGACTCTCAGATTTGCGTCCTTATTATGAGGCAGAGAAACGTCGTTCGGAAGGCAGAGAAACGTCGTGAGGAGACTTTAGATGGAGTGGTAGAAACGAAATAAAGTAGGGATTTGAGTGGTATATATGTAATATTAATGTATGAGGTGTTAGATATGCAAAATATTAAGTATATAGTGGTATGTATGTAAATTTTCCTAAACTAAAAAGAATGGAGCATAGCTAACATTTTGAGAACTAGAAATTGGTAGTCGATAATTTTTTGTCATTCGACACGCATTACAAATAGAAGAATTTTCTTACTATATTTCATCCCATATGTCCTTAGATTTTTCTCCATTTCAATTTGTTTATGATCGATCGCCACCCATTATTATGCCATGACACTATAGATGAGCTGAGAGAGAAAAAATTACAGTAGTTACAAACTAATTCACAACAAACTCAAAATAGGACATCCCACGCGGAGCTGTTCTTCGTCCCCGCCGCAGATGGCCTCAACGCACTTAGCACACTTCGCTCCTCAGCTCCTCCCTGCATCCCCACCCTCTCTACATCATCACTTGTAAATCATTACTGTATAACCTGCCACAAAACCATATAGTTTCCAACCAAAATATTTCTTCTTTGGAAACGAAGCACAGTACGCCAACGATTCCGTTCATCTACATAAATCCAAAAATAGCAAACGTTTCCTTTCTATCGTTTCGCTCCTCCATCTCCCATCGTAGAGCCTTCAATCTTTTAAACAATTCTTTCTCTCTGCCCAAAAATAGCAAAGATGCGATTTTTATCTACCGCTGTCTCGTCATCCTTACAAAATTCCTTCATTTTCCTCAGATTTCCTTCCTCCCCGAAAATCCGCCCTCGGACAGCTCGTATCCATGGCCTCCTCCGTGGCTCGAATGCCCTCCGACGAATGGCGCCACCACCACGCTTCCCGCCTTCACGTCCGCACCCACAAACCTATCTCCAAGATCCTAACCCGTATCTCCACCTCCATTAACACCACAGCCGCCGCCGCCGCAGCCGCGGCTTCAGCAATCGTCCTCATCGGAGGAGGCGGCGAGCCACTATCGCCGGCAACGGAAACCAAACGCCGTCAATCCCAAATACTTGACCGTTGGGCCGCCCGACAGGCACGCGACATGATTACGACTATAGAAAGACAGGCCCATGAGGCAGAATTGTCGGCGCTCTCCACGACGACTCAGCCCGTCTCCGCCCGAGCTGCCTCGCTCCTCCGCGAGACCTCTCCGGACACCTCCGTTGCTGCCGCCGTAGCAGATGTCGTTGGCAGCGGCGGCGGTGCGGTGGCCGCGGACATCCAGCCCACCGTGCGCGCTTCATCGCTGATACAGATGTGGAGGGAGCTGGAAGCTGAGGCAGGGGTCTGCCCCACGCCTCGCGCCAGCATGGCGGCTCCACCGCCAGCCGCCGAGGCGGAGGAGGCCCTCGGCGGGTCGGACACAAGTAACGAGGCGGACGCGTTCTGCGACTTGGAGAAAGCAGCTCCATCATCGCCTCCGACTTCGTCCGCGGTGGAGATGGAGAGCGAGGTCACCGAAAGGAGAAAGGTCTGGGATATCATAAGAATGCTGAGCCTACAGGTCTCGTCCTCCCCGGCCTCCTCCGGCAATAAGCCAGAACTGTCGGCGAAGGAGATTACGGGTAATACGCCAGCGGCCACCCTTTTGCCTTCGTCGGCACCGTTGCCAATGCCGGACACCAGCAAAAAAGCGTTGCGTGTAAGGGGAAGACTGGTGATGGAAAATTTTCATTTGAAGCTGGAGAAAGAGCGCAGACTAGAGGTCGCCGCGCTTGAGAAGCGCCACCCTGTTTCTCGATTCCCCTTCCGGGGCCGCATTCAGGTAACATTCAAATGAGTGATGCCATAGTAGCTCCAAATATCCAAAATGCACTTTTTAACTGACATTTTAATTTATATTCAGTCATTGATTAGGTTGAGATCCCTGCGACAAGAAGTAGCGACAATCAAACATCAACAATGGTCTCAAAAATTAGAAGCAAAGAGATTTGAGACTGGATCAAATACATTTTTCTCAAGGTATTTGCTCATTTTGCTTGAAGGTTGAAATGATATTTTTGCACTTAGTTCTTTATTTCTTCATCAACTGATAGCTCAGAACATGCCCTCTATTTGTGAACAATATTTAAATTAATGGCGAGTATTACTACTTTTACATCCTTGTAGGGAAAAACCTGCAGATAGAAGTGAACTTGATATCATTGAAGTTCCAGCTGAAGAAAGTCTGAATGTCATGGAAGTTCAGCCATCAGATCCTCATGTTTGCGTCTTTGCAATTCCCATTAATCATTCTAATGGTGAAAATAACCTCTTCCCAGAATTAGCATCCACAGGAGAAACGGAAAGCTCGCCACTAGACTTCTACTCGCCATTGTCCCAACACGAGGATCTGCAAGAAAGCAGAAGCTCTAAAGTTTCATGGGATGAGAAAAGCTTATGGGGGAGCAGCCTTGATTGGCAAAGGCTTTCAAATTCTCACTCGCTGCAAACTTGGCATGGTGAGATTGCATCAGAGGGGACAGAAACATCTTCTCAAGAGCAACAAATCGAATCTCCCCAATGTAAATTGTTATTACAACCATGGGTGATAAGAAGAACTTTCTATAATGACTTACTAAATACGAGCTTCACCGAAAATAGAGAGATTCAAGAACTGCTGGAGATGTATGTTGTGTAGTCTTCTTGCTAGTTAACTATAAGTTTTCCTTGTTATGCAAATTCAAGGTTTTCATAAAATAACAAATATGAATTAGTGAAGCATAAATTTAAGCTTTCTTCATAGAACTCCTAAGGCAATCTGTATTATTCGACTCGTTCCTTTTCAGGAAAACAGTTTCAACTTCTCTTGCGAGCGAATTCTCTGCCAAAATGAACCAAATGATTGAGTCATTTTTACACAGACAAGGACAACAAAATGCTGATGTAATTGAAAGAGAGCAGTACGAAGAACAAGGCATCTGGAGACAGAATTATGAAAGCAGTTCTGATCAAGAGGTGGCTGCAACATCACTGTCACAATTATCCTCTGCAACTTTAAGTGACCAGGAAATTTGGAAAAATACTTCATTATCGTCATCCTCTCAAATATTGCAAAACCAGGATCATTGGCAAAGATTTTCATTACCGTTGCAAAAAAGCTGGCAAAGTTCTTCGTCCACACAAAATTCATCACCTAGTTTTCATGTAAGTTTAAACAAAAAATCTTTCTGATCAGAACTTTTTGTCCAGTTGAAGAGTTAAACATAAACGTTCATTCACCACTGATCTTTCAAATGCTGCAGGAAGGGGAAGATATGCACGAACTGAAGAACAGTGTTGCTCAGATACATCACGAAATTTCTGAGCTAAGGAAATTAGTTGAGAGTTGCCTGGACTGGCAGAAAAAGTTAGATCATTCAATAAAGCAGGAAGCTTTTTGTGCTGTCAATCAGTTGGGTAAGTTTTTTCTTTATATTTTGTTTTCCTTAACTATTTCCTCAATTCTATGAGTAGTAATTGATTTTGTTGTGCTCCTATATTTATGATGATTCTTGTAGTTTGGATAAGAAAATATGTTTTCCTTAACACTACCGTTGCCAGATCTCAAGTTCTGAATGAGAAAAATGGAGGGTTGTGTAACATTCAATATATGATTTATTTCATTTATATGTTCATAACATAAATTAACATTCAATATTTTCGTATAGCTAACATTATAATATAACAAAACTATAGAATAACACTACTTCTAAATTTTATCACATTGTTTAAAAAATTCATATTTATATACAAACCAAGTTCCAAATCAAAACCAAGCTCAAAGGACTAATAATGAGGAAGAATATTTTCATTCAGTTTTTGGGGATTATTTTCTTCAATAAGGAAATGTGCATTAAAGCTCTGCATATATACTCCGCAATAGGATGGTTTTTTGAAAGAAAAAAATAGGCACCTTCCAGAAGACTATTTACTACCAATGTTCCAATTTCAACATTAGAAAGAGATTGGCCCAAGAGCTGCATACCTTATTAATTGAAGGCCATCAAGGAGACTCAAAATTGAAATTCTTGCTAAGTCCTCCTTGAAACATACCCCACAAAATGATGAATTGAACCAAACTTATCATTTTTCAAAACATGTTTTGTAACTGGAGCAACATAAGGAGCCCTTACAGAAATTTTGTCTGTTTATTTACATTTTCATTCATCTCAAGTCTATGTTTTGGAAGTTTGCACTGTATTCTTTATTTCATTAATCAGCTGGAAGAGGAAGTCTATTGCATAATTCAAAGTGCATGCAAGGAAGGAAAGACAATTGTTGCATCTGCTGTGAAGCACAAGTTGACACACTTTTATACAGGTACAGATTTTAACACATATAATTGAAATTGAAGTAAATATTTGTAAATTACTATTTCATAACACAAATTCCACTACTAGATATATTTCTTCTTATAACTTCTTGTTGTCAATACTATTTAGGTGTGGCCACATGTGTGCTTGTTACAAGTGTGCTAAAGAGTTACAATGGAGCTGTGGTAGGTGCCCAATTTGCCGCTCTCTGATCGCCGATGTTGTTCGAGCGTATCCAAACTCTTAAGTACTGATTCAGCTTATTTAATCCACTGATCAGTTTCTGATAGTTTGGATGAAGCAAATCTCCTTGAGCTCCTGTTTAGAAGAACATCCATCCTAACTGGCCAACTTCTTATACATTGCACTGCAAAGCTTGCCATTTTGGCAGTTGCAGTGAGAGTAATAACAGTCTTAGGTGTCTTTTTTTTATTCTTTTATGTTCATGGAGAGTGAATATCTCTTTCTTCCAGTTTTGTTATCTTTGGTGGAGCTATAAATTGCTCTGTCTATATGTACCAATACAAGAAGGTTATTTTGAAAAATACATTTTTCATCAACTCTTTTTGTCCTTACAGTTGGAATTCACAAAAAGATGAAAGAATTCTGCTTGTTTCCATTTTTGAAATTAGAATGCTCAGAAAAGAATAGAAAAAGTCAGAATAAGTTGCAATTGGACTTTCAAGTATGTGAAATGATAGCTTCCAAAGAAACTAGAGCAGGATTGGAAAGAGTTTTGTGTTTAAGGAGAGGCAAGAAAGGTTTATATAGATATTATTTTTAGTTTTGTATTATTTGGTGAGTAAATGAGAGGTGGAAGTCAACCATATATGCTATATAGTATATAGAGGCATGTCCAAAACTGACGTTTATAAACATATGGAGTAAAAATTCATAGAAGCTTAGTCATGATTGTTTTGTAATTTCATTGTTGTTTTAATGCATTTCTTCTTTATTTCTTTTGAGGAACCAATAACTACTTCAAAATTGACTACAAAATCTGAGCTATAATGTCTTTTTTATGCTATATCAAGAAATGTTCTGTAATTTCATGGTTGCTTCAATACATTCCTCCTTTATTTTTTCTGACGAACCAATAACCTCTTCAAAATTGACTACAAAATCTGAGCCATAATGTCTTATTTATGCTATATTATGAAATGTTTGCTAACTGAGCATAGATCTGAATGTTAATTTGAAGCATTGCTGCATAACAATATCATCATCATTAAGCCGACCTTCATCCCACTACGTTAGGTCGGCTACATAAATCCTTTTTCCCCATCGTGTCTGGACTTGGTTAAAAGTAAAATTCTCATTTAAATCTAATAAAAAAAGATCATTTCTAATATTTTCTATCCAAGTCTTCTTAGTTCTATCTTGACATTTCTTAACATAAGTTAAACCTAATAGATATATTCTCCTAACTGGGTCATCAAAAGGTTGACATTTATGTGACCAAATCATCTAACAAAACTCTCTTTAATCTTATCTACCACTGGAGCTACTCCAACATTTTCATGTATATACTCATTTTGCATTATGTCTCTAAGAGTAAAGTCACTCATCCACCTGAGCATCCTCATCTCTGTAAAACTTTACTTCATTTTATTTATCTCTTTTAATGGCCAACATTTTGTGTCATAATGTATTGCAAGTTTCACTACCATCTTATAGAATTTTTCCTCAAGTTTGAGGGGTGTTATATCACACAACAGGCCCGATGCATTCCTCCACTTCAACCATCCAACTTGAATTCTACTAATAATATCCTCATATATTTCATCATAACTCTAGACAATAGATTCAAGATATCTAAAATGTGTTCTCTTATTAACGAATTGATCACCCAAAGCCATAATTCACCCACTAGATCTATTAATACTAAAATTATACTTCATGTATTCTGTTGTTTTTTTGTTCCTAGATTTAGGTTTGCTTTTGTGTAGGTTTCTTGTTTGGGATATGTAGCCAATTGTGTGTTGCTTTTGTGTAGCTCTTAGGTGCCTATTAATAGGCTTTAGCTTGTATTAGGAAGGCAGCCATGGAATAAAGGAATTATGATTTGTGGCTCACGGTCCCCCTCTCCTCTCCCTCCTCACTCCCTCTCAAGATCTTGCAAGAAAGATCTCTTAATCTTCTTCCTTAGGTTCTACAATTTGGTATCAGAGCTTGGTGGAGATGATTAAGGAAGAAGGAAGTTCTTGCATTCGAGAAAGAGAGGAGGTTTCCGGTGATGACCGGAAGGCAGAGTTGCCGGACTCGGGTGAAGCCGGTCGGGCTTCTTGATCGGGAGGTTTGCTCGTACTTGCGGAAGGAAGGATCGAGAGTTCAGCGGGCAGAGCAGAATCGGGATTTTTGGATCGTCCGAGTAGGCCGGACGTCCGTGCGGCTTTGGCTGTTTGACTTGGACGGCTTGCAGAATTTCTGCATTTGAGGAAGATTGAGGGCGGCTCTCGGTTCAAAGGAGGCGAGCTGTTGGCCCTTATGGATGAAGCCGGATTTGTACAGGAGCAGGACTTCTTGCGGTTCTTGCTGATCAAGTTGAGGAAAGAGAAATCAAGAGGCTGGAGGCCGTCCAGAAGGAGATCGAAGACATTGTGGACGCAGTGGCTCAGGTGGAAGCTGTGAGAGCTAGCGAAAATGAGAGGCAAACAGCCAAAGGAGATCAGACGTCCGGTAGGGTTACCGGAGGCGGGATCAGACGGAAGCCGGTTTTGGTCGAAAATCGTGAACAGAATGTGAAGATAGGATGAAGCAAGGCCTAGAGGGAGGCGGGGCGATCCGTGTATAAGAAATCAGAGAAGATCGGAGGCATGGAAGCTGTTGAGGCCGGATTTTTTGCTTGATTTTAAATCAAGTTTCAATCGGTCTTGAAGCAGATTTTTTCGGTTCTTTGGTTGAAAGATCAGTTTGGATCTTTGCGGTGGAGTTTTGGATTTTCGGTGGAGTCCAGGGAGACACTGAGGTAGTGTCTGCTGCTCTTGGAGAGCAGGGTTGAAAGTGTAGGGCGCTGGGAGATGCGAGGTCGTGCGGTGCATGAGGAGTCCGCATAGGAGCGCGAGGCACTTGTGACGAGCGGAGCGCAGGTGAGGGCGCAGGGCTCGCTGCACGGGTGGATACGTGCAGGATGTGGTCGGTGACAGACCACATGGGTGCAAGGCGCGGGTGCGGGCTTGTGGCGTTTGGATGCGGGCACTGAGGAGCAGGGTGCTGGTGGATGCACAGGGCGTGGAAGCCGGGCTAAGGGTGCTCGGGGATTGGCTGCGTTTGACGCAGTGCGACAGGAGATCTGTCGGGAGGTGGAGC